TGAGTAAAAACCTGAACAAAATCGCATGGCATGCGAAATATTAATACCCCAGCAACATGCCGGGCAGGGGGAAGGCACACGGAGGGGCGCCAAGTTGCACTTGAAGGCGCAGACAATTGAAATTGTAATTGAAAATGAGAATAAAACCGAATCGACCAAATTTTAACAGTTATTAAACACAAATATGCCAAAAAATATTTTATTACTCGGCCACGGGCTAAGCAGCTGTCGGCCGTTTGTTGCTGCCGCCAAATTGATACCCTGTAAATGACAAGAGGCGGTGTATGCTGGACGTATAGGGATTGAATGTAAATGCGAATAGAACTATGACCTAAACAACCATAGACTTTTAATTACACGTAACTGGAAACTACATAATACCCTATAAAATATTTGATCTATAGGGATTTGATTGAACTATATAAATAAAATTTACCAATTACTAATCGTCTAATAATTAAAAAAAAAAGTATTAGGCATATTGAAAACTATTTCTAGGGTATTGCTTTGTCGATAACACGAATCTGCCCAAATGTTTCATTGTTTTTGTTGAGTATGTGTTAAATTGTCGCTGTCAAAATTAACTAGAATTTAATTCAATTGAATTTATGGTCACACTTCCACTGACGATCGTCTTCAAGAGCCAATACGATTTCGTCATTATTTGACGTGTGGCTCTGTCTGATAGAGAATAATTCCCTAAACACCCAATTTGTGAAGTGGATTCTTTCTCGAATTGCTGATGCGAATATCGCGTGCAAGTGTGCCCAGCCTTGAGAACATATTGATGCCATACCATATTGCACTCGTCAACAGACTCAACAAAATCTGAGTTTCAATTTGTTTGGCGTGAGAAATATTTTCCATATACTGAAGTCAAATTTCCGTGTAAATGCTGCCAAATAATTGGCACAATTGTAGGTGCTATAATTCCTTGATATTGCATTCTCAGAATGTACGTGCATTACCCAAGGTTGGCCTTTCAATGATGTTTATCCACACATTGACCTTGATCGATGAGGAAAATCGAACGAATTTCCTATAGAGCCCACAATTTCAGTTCAGAGCAGACAATACGTGCGTTAAAGAACCACCCAAATACAAAAATAAACACGACATTGTCCATGAAATTGATTATCAGCAGCATCGACTATTTTAATGAGCCGAAATTAAGCTGTTAGCACATCTATTTAACGTATTTAACGTATTTTTCGTTTTTATTTATTTATTTTTATTGCACCTCAATGCACGGTTTTATGTCATAGAGGTAAACATTGCGCTTGGCTGTTAAACTCGGCGAATAATTCACATTTTTGCAACTCACAAACTTTCCTGAAAATGTTTACTGAGTAACCCATAATATTCTTATTACTTTTATTAAACAGCATTAACTATTCAGCTGATCTGTGACAATGACCAACATTTCTGATCAATCAAGAGAATGTGAACTAAGTGAAATGCTCGACTAACAGCTGCCCTGTATTTGATATTTGAACTAGATATATGAGATCCAAGATCAAATAAACTATGCTATTGTCGTTTGTTCTCTTGGGATTTAAAATATGATTGAATATATATTAGAAATATTCAACATTCTTTATACCCTTGATATTTATTTAAGTTAAAATTAAAAATCTTTCAAATGTTTTATTATTAGCTTGCCATATACAGGATATTTCTAGGAGAAGGAACTAGAAGTAGCTCTAGACTTCCGAGCTAGCTTCAAAAATGTTTATGCCCTAATATGATGGGTATATCGTTTATTGGGGCTTTCACAAAAAATACTTCCCAGTCAACACACCCTTTAGGTGCTATATACCCAAGGCTTCGATAAGTGAAGCATTTCAAGTCTTTGGCATAGAATTTATATACAATATATGTATTGCGAAACAAACAGATTATTGTTCTTTGGGCATACATAGTATATTGGCTAGGAGCTGTGCTGATGCAATCGTTTTAGTTGCCTAATCCCAAGGCAGATGATTGTGCACAACGATATCTGGCCAAGCATTCCATAGGCAAGTATAAATATAATAATACTCTGACCGCATTGAAATAGGTTGCGATCTTATCGCATTTGTCATCCACGTGAATACGTCACAAATTTGACAGCTTTAAGAATACAATGTTAATTTATCAATGGGTTCGATTACGCTCGTTGTCTGATAAGCTATTACATGGGTAATACAATTAGGAGTATGTACTTGAACTACTTTTTTATGCTCGATAAGAGATTTTGTAACCTGGAATGTTCAGTTCTCGAGAGAGAAATCTCAAAACTTAAATTCTACGCACTAAGGGGCTGGAAACTTGAGTTGTTGTTTATTGTTGTTGTTGTTGTTGTTTGTCCGGCAGTTCATAAATATTTTATCACATGACTTAAATACATTGGAATGCCGCACTTTTGCGCTGATACCGAAGCACAATATTGACTGGCTATTGACCAGAATGACAATATCGTCCAATGTGCCCGGAATTGGTAATAATAATCAACTAAGTACTTAATAGCATATAAATATCAGCTAATTGAATGGCCGCCCAATCATGTTGTCGGGCCAATCGAACTGCCAAATTTTGGACAAGTTCGAAGCCAGCCAGATGGTATCTGTTGTCACACCAAATTCTGCAGATTCTGATTTAGGATTTGGTTTAGATAAATCATTGATAAACCGTACCAAATGACATATCAATTAAGCTCCGGACATGTTGTCATCGCCATTCACATTAGACAATTCAGTTTTTGTACTTGAAACAGAATTCTAGTTCAATATGTACACAAATTCCTATTGTTCTTTGCGCAGCTCGAGGCACAGTGCTCAAATTCATTTAATTGTGCACAAAATTAAACGATTAAAATGTCGAATCAAATTTTAAAAAGCTTTCACGATTTTCCTTATTTTTTCGACTTTTCACTGAATAAACCACTTAATATATACTTAGTATAAAAGATATAATTAATGAGAACAGAAAAAAATATGGTATATATATAGTATATAGTATAGGGTCGATATATTTAGTAGCTCTTAACAGAAAGCAATCGGATCATGGTTTTATCTATGTGTACATCGATTTCGTCGATTGTATATGATGATATATAGTGCCTGGCATGAATCAGCAGGGAATTGAGTTCTTCGATGATAAGAACGTGTGACCTTGGAATTTGTATTGGTAATGTCAATACAGCCAGTCATTTATTGAGAACCAATGTTAAATAATGCCAAATTTTTGATTTACTTTCTTACTCATTGCCTTGGCCAAGGTTTTAGTTGTCGATTTTCGAATCCGTCATATTAGTTGAAAGTTTTGCTGAATCATAGAAAGCATTTCCGTTTCGGGTGAGTTGCAACGTTCAATACTGTTTAATTTTACAATTTAACTGTTTTTTCTTTTTTCGTACTTCTTTAACTTTTGCCATTTACCAAAATTGTGGGCATTGTTATGTGGTCCTCGCATCCTAGCCAGCCGGCGGACAAAGAGTTTCTTTATGCTGTGTCCACTCTCTTTGTAATGGGTCAACATTATGTTGTTGTTTATTTATTCGTTTTCTTTTTTTTTGGTCTGGTCAATCTCCGGTTTGTGTGATTCTTTTGTTTGTTTGCGTTTGGCCCAAAAGCGTTTCTCGTACTCAGACACAGAAATCGGCCATAAAACTTAAGTTTAATGTCAAGCAAATGGCGACACTGGGAATTAGCAAATGTCGACGTCTGATGGCTTTATTTCCATAGCCTTGATATGCTCTGGGGCGTTTATGGATATTAGAACTGAGAAGAGACTCAGTTGGCCTGAGTCGATTTTAATTAGCTTTCTTAATGTGTCGGCTTGGATTTCTTCGGTTTCTTTGTTGCCTTTTGTTTACTATCAACTGCTCTTTGTGGGCGTTAAAGCTGAGTTACGATAAATATCTACCAAATTCATTTGCAATTTCTTTTGAACAAACTCTAATATTTTAAAAGAGAGTGGCGAACCGATTCCTAAAGAATACCATAAAGAACTGGCAGCTCTCTAAATAGATTTCGCAGCGGCTGTGAAAATATTGTACAAAGAAAAAAAAAAAAAAATTATATGCAAATTCCTGCATTGTATTTATGGGAAAAACAGAAGCTTCGAATGATGCCAAACGAAATGCCAGATCCAGATAGTATCGGATCATATTGAAACGTGCACAGATTTCAGTTTCTTTTCTTTAATGTACATATATTTGAGTACAAGTAGACTTTTTACTCAAATTTCGCACAAAAAATTGAATAAATATTTGATATGCATGCATAGATGGCATGTTTGTAGAATTTATCTATATTTTGATTTGGTTTAACAGCCTTGAACTTAAATTGGGTACAATTGAGTACGTTTGTAGATATATCATATCAATTTGGTTTGATAATAAACACAAACAGGCAAACAAACATTCAAAATAAAAATATATACGTAAATTAACTGCGCACAAGAAATGCTCACGGCTTTGCTAACCGGCCAAAGGTCTTGGCAAACAATTTAAGGAATTTTACCAAAATTCCATGTCTTCGTTACATATCACAGGTTTGCATCTGGCGAGGAATACGTGATACCAGTGGAGAATACACATACACATGCATGCATTCACACCTTTGGAAAGTGTCTTTTTGCATCTTTTCGGAAATTTGCCGATATATGTGCAGTGGGAGAGCTTAGAAAACTGTCTCTGTTAATGGGCAATGCGCTCTTCTCTCCCTTTCGCACAGGTACAGACATCTCTATACAAGCAGCAAGCTTTGCCACAAACACTGTAAACTTAACAGTGCTGATATAGCCAGCGCGCTCTCGTACTCTCGCGCTCTCCGCCACTCTCGCTCTCACGCTCTCTCTCTTTCGCACACCACCTACACACCGCAGCGTTCACTGCAGGCGCTTAACAGTAACAGCAAACAAAAAAGTAAACAACAGCAAAAGCATTTGCAAAAGAGACCTCAACAGCAGCGACGGCTTTGGTTTGATGGTGCCCAATAACTTTTATTGAGTTCAGTCATCGGCTGGCCGCGATCGTCTGAGGAACGTGTTGGCGAAAAAAAAAAGGAAAAACTATTGGTTATTTTATTATTACGGTTCTGTTTGGCAAAAGAACTTATTGGCTGTAGTGTTAAATTTTAAAAAAAGGCCTTCATTCATTGTGCAAGTTACAAAAAAAAGTTAGTATGAATACGTATACGTAATATATATATTTAAAAATTCTCAAAGTGCTAATGCCTTAACTTAAATTTACGAGCTTCGATTATGTGCGTTCTTTTACTATGCCAATAATTTTGAAAAATTTGCAAAACACTTTTGAAAAATTGAATGTGCAAATGTGAATTAATAGAAATAGTGCAATCATATTTTATACACACTTCGAAAATATGTGCAATTCTTTTTCGATGCATGTCTATAAATGCGTAACAAACAGCTTGATTCGAATTGTTGTTTATTTATTTGAGAAAGATATTTTTCTGGTTTCATTAAAGTATATTTCATTTGGGGTAAATAAACTCTGAAAATTTGCAGAGCCAAATAAAGCTAAAATAGAGCTATTTATAGCACGTTTTATTAAACAATTCAAACTCGTCCGTTAGCCACATACTTAAAATCATTTTCCCTTATATCAATTAACACATTCCAGAGTTTTAGCTAATTGAATATGGCTAACTAATTGGCGAATCAAACTCTCAAATAACTTAACACATAATTAAAAACGGGTTCAGCTTTAGCAAAAAAAAAAAAAATATGAAAACAAAAAAAGAGTTGAGATTTTTAATGCGAATGTTTGAACAACCCGTATTATTCAAATAGTATTTATGATACGATAATTAAATACATTTTGTGGCACTCAATAAAAAAAATTAAACACAATATACGAAACTGGCAAAATCTATTTGCAATTTGCATTTAAATAAATAATAAACCTTCTTTATTATTATCAGTTTTTTTTATTTTTTCATTTTTATTTATTATTATGTTTTGTTTAAGTCAAACAAGTTTAATGCTCTGTCATAACTCTCCGAGTCCCGTGTCCGGAACCCAGCAAAAAAAGGGGCGCTTTGTGCCTCTTTTTTTATTTTTTTTTTATTACTATTTTCATTTTTTGCTGCCTTTGCGTAAATTTGGATTCGGTGCCTGAACAAAAAGCCAGACAAAAAAAATAAAAATTGAAAAAACTTTCGGGCTTAAAATGAGTTTTTAAAGCTGACGTCATCAGAATTTTTTAAAAGTTTACTGTTATTTGATTGCTGGCGTTTCGGGCTATGTTTATGTTGCCAATTGTGGCCCACAATTTTGGAACTACGCGGGGCATATCAGTGCGTTGCCTGTGTTCGTAACTCACACATCTATTTGAGTTCCTAAAAGGAATTGATTCTTAAAAATCCACAAGTTTCCTAGGAACATGTCTTCTTTAACATCCCAAGCAATCTACAATTATTTCTATTTTCCCATAAACCTTTTGGCAATATTTTCAACTGGCTGCAGGGTATCTTCTGGCACATACTCTCGATCATCTTAAATTTGATTTGCCAATGCATGAAGTGAATTTTTGATGAGCGTGAAATTTCCAAGGGGTTTGTGTGCGTGCGCTCCTTAATTTTATTTTTACAAGCCAAAAATATGTGATAAACTAATTGATTTCGTTGATTTTTACTACGTCTCTAGCCTCAGCTCCAGTTCTTAACTATACCACAAAACCGATTAAAAAAAAGCTATGCAAATGCTGAAATTAGGAAGCCAGCGAAACCAGTTTAGAGCTACCTCAGCTTTATTTAGCCATGCATAATTGAAATTCATCGAGACTTAATTAGACTTTGATGTTCATATTTATCGCTGCATGGGGCGTATGCGTAATACGCAAATTTCAGGAGCTTTCCATTAAAAAAAAAATACATAAAAAAAAAAACAAACGCTGATAAGAGCTGAGATAGCTAATTTGTTGACAAATTGCAAACTTCTTATCTAATCGCAGCCTCACAATTTGCGACCGATGATCTCATAGAATTCCAGACTAGTTGGGATTAGATAAACAATTTGGGTTAATTTCCACACTAATCTATTTACTTTATCATTTACAGTTGAACGCGCCTAGCTGCATTTTCAACTACAAGACATGGCTGTCAAGTGTGCCCTGCTGGGGCTCTCACTACTCCTGGTGCTTCTTGGCCTGGCCGATGCCTACGATCACACACTGAAACTGGACTTCCCGGGTCCGTATTGTGCGCGACAGAACACATGCTGCAAGGATCGGCGCGACGGCTGCTCGATGCCTATATCCAGTTAGTACCGAATTCAATTATTTCCCCATATTAATATGGTACCCTATTTAAATATTTCCCCATATTCCTACATAAATATAGTACCATATTTAAATATTTTCCTTTATGCTATCCATATTTGTATATCCAGTCAAATATTTCCCCATATTACCCTATATAAGGTATTTCCCCATATTCCTAACAGAATATTATTTCTTATTCAAATATTTCCCTATATTCTGCTCATGTTTGAATGTACAGTCAAAACCAAATTCAAACATTTCCCCATATTTCTACCTAGATATTATACCCCTTTCAAATATTTCCCCATATTTCTACCTAAATATAGTAAATCATATATGCTACCCATATTTGAATATTTAGTATCTTATTCAAATATTCCCCATATGCCTATCTATCTTTTTGTTGTTACTCATAACCTAATTCGAAATATTTCCCATTGTTCCACTTACCCGGTTAGCTCCTTCTTAAAGTATTTTCCCCATATCTCAATCTTTTTGTTCTTGTCAGACAGTCGTCATAAATCTGCTAACTATTGTATATTTCCCTCACTCACAGCAACATTGTGCTACTGCGATGAGTTTTGCGATCGGGATGACTCCGGTGACTGCTGTCCGGACTACCGTTCGTTCTGCTTCAATGAGCCGGATCCGGTGCTCAGCTGCCTGCACAACGGCATCTATTTCCACAAGTACAACACCACGTGGGACAATTGCAACGAGTGCCGTTGCCTGGACGGCGGCCGGGTGCAGTGCGACACGGACTTGTGCCTGACCGACGACGAGCTGGTCCATAGCGTCAACTCGATCCATCGGCTGGGCTGGTCGGCGCGCAAATACGACGAATGGTGGGGCCACAAGTACAGCGAGGGTCTGCGCCTGCGCCTGGGCACCAAGGAGCCCACCTATCGTGTCAAGGCGATGACACGTCTGACCAATCCATCGGATGATCTGCCAAGAAAATTCAACGCCGTGGAGAAGTGGTCCAGCTATATATCAGAGGTGCCCGATCAGGGCTGGTGCGGTTCCTCCTGGGTGCTGTCCACCACTTCGGTGGCATCCGATCGCTTCGCCATCCAGAGTCAGGGCAAGGAAGTGGTCCAGCTGTCGGCACAGAACATACTCTCCTGTACGCGTCGCCAGCAGGGCTGCGAGGGCGGTCATCTCGATGCCGCCTGGCGTTACCTGCACAAGAAGGGCGTTCTCGACGAGAAGTGCTATCCATACACACAGCATAGGGACAGCTGCAAGATTCAACGCCACAATAGTCGTTCCCTAAAGGCCAACGGCTGCCAGCCGGCGTATGGCGTCAATAGGGATAGCTTGTACACAGTGGGCCCCGCGTACAGTCTGAGTCGCGAGGCAGACATCATGGCTGAGATCTATCACTCGGGACCCGTACAGGCCACCATGCGCATCTACCGCGACTTCTTCTCCTACTCGGGCGGCATCTACCGCCAGACGGCTGCCAATCGCGGTGCACCCACCGGCTTTCATTCGGTGAAGCTTGTCGGCTGGGGTGAGGAGCATGATGGCGTCAAGTACTGGGTAAGTAGAAGGCAGAACAGTGATTAGGATGGGAGTTGGAAAACGTACTTACCTAACATTGATTTCTCCAATTTGCCAGATTGCGGCCAACTCGTGGGGTCCCTGGTGGGGCGAGCACGGCTACTTCCGCATATTGCGCGGCTCCAATGAGTGCGGCATCGAGGAGTATGTGCTGGCCTCCTGGCCGTACGTCTATAACTACTATAACACGAAGTCGGTATAAATGGAGCCGAGTGGCAAACTTCTCGTAATCTCGAGCTATACGCCGTGACGAACAATTTATCTCATGTTTCAAAATTTTCCATTTGCTACGACACTGAAAGTGAATTAGGCGCTTCTAATTGTAAATTTATGCTAGAACTTAGGTACTAAAAATGATTAGCTTTAAGTCGCGCTGAGACGACAACATTGTTAACTGCCCCCCGGGTCCAAGTCCAGCTCCAGCACCCAACGAAATAACTCTTCAACTTTTATAGCCACCTCTCCCTGAACGACTAATTTTCTGAGCCCTCGATGGATATGGAACTGCAAATCAATTCGTAACACGAAACTGCCACATATTAACCTTACCGTCCTGCCCCGAACCACACACTTCCTCTCTCTCTCTCACACATAATACTGCCACAGTAAATAGCAAATCATATTCTCGTCGAAGGACTTTGGAAGTCGCTTGATCCACCAATCAGGTTATTTTGAACGAGACATGATATGAGATGCGCAAAGGTATTCAAAGAAATGATTAGGAACGAGTTGGGTCTACGTCTACTTATCCACACTCATGTATTGTAAATGAAAGCTAAGTTAACTGATTTATAACCGGATTGAACGTGTTCGGCTTTATAATGTATGTATATTTTTAATAAACGAATTGTATTTCATGTTTGCGTCTTCTTTCCTTATCCCCATTCGTCGTGACAATAACATTCGAGTTCTTGATATTTGACTATTAATTTGCTAAAAACAATTTGATCTTAACTTTATTTATCCACAATCAAAAATCTGTCAAATTGCATATAATCAATAATTGGTTAATGTTTAATTTATAATGGTATAATATTTCGTTTTAGATCTTTTCCTTTGTTTAACAATATTTCACATCTTTATTTATTTATTTTTTCTTGGTTTTCTTTTTGTTTTTGTTTTTGCAAGGGGTTAAATAATAGAATACAATAAAATACAATTCTTTATGGGGGGTAATTACTTGTAATTATGAACTAAATACGCGATAATAAAGGAGAAAAATCATTAAGAATGTTGATACTTTGCACTTACAATTATATAATCGAAAATCAAAGTCATAAGCACTTTTTTGGATAGTCCTTGCACTATCCTAAACAATCTACAATTTATCATGGAATTTCGTTTCTTTTAGAAAACACAGTTGTTAACGTTGTTTTTGATCGTTTTGCAAGGTTCTGCATTATTCTCTGTTTGACCAGCCTTTTGAAGAGTGGGTTTTACTATTTGCTCACTGATAAGTAGCTTTACAAAAATAGGCGTGAACGAGGGGCGTTGTTTGCTGTGTTTTTAAGTGGTTAGCAAATGGAGAAGGTGTAGGAGGAGTTCTTCATTAATTGAGTGTAATGCCGGCAAATGAGACTTCCAGTGCGGTGTCATTGGACTCCATGCGGCTGCGCAAGTGCGCCAGCGTATTCTTATAATGACTCTCAATCTGCTTAGTTTCCTCGCTGGGTTCCAGATTGGGCAGCTCTTCGTTTACCTTGGCAATGAGCTGGAAAATACAATAGAATGTAGTGCAGCACATTGGTTGCGCTCAGTGTGGGGCCTTACCTGATTCAGCATGGCGACAGTGATGAGTGAGTTGCCGCGCTCAAAGTAGAACAGATAATGATTCAATAGTTCCACGTACAGTTGCACTTGCACGCCCGTATCCAGACACTGTGAGGCGATGCGTGCGCCCTTTTTCAGACAATCCAGCGTACGCTTCTCATCGCGCATTTCCTCACCATTTTGCCTACAAGTATTGTTATTTTCAAATGTCTGGTTTTAAATGTTTATTCGCAATTGACTTACTTGCCGCTCCAGAAGAGCGCCGCACAGGCCACAACGCCGCGACACTGATCTGGCTTCTTCAGCAGCTTGGACGCAGCCAGCGCACAGTTGGTGCGCAGCGGTTCGGCGTTCTCCTCGCCAAAACAAGACATTTGCTCAAATGTGGACATGATGAGCGTTATGGCCGCCAGTTGTGCCTTCGAATCGGATATTTCATCCTCGTACAACGAGAAGGCCTGCGTCATAAACTCATACGCCACAGTCTCGTGATTTGTATAGCGTATCTCGCCAATAACCAGAGCGCCCTGCAGATACAGGCGCAACGCCAAATCTGGCAAATCCGCTTTGGCCAATGCACTGATTGTGCTGTGACAGTACTGCACAATCTTCTGACACTTCTTGTCCCAGTTCTCATCCTGTTCAGCAATTGCTTTGTATTTAAATGCCAACTGATAAGCGGCGAACACAAGTGGCGGCAGGACATGCTTCAGTCTCTGACCGCCGCCGTTGCCCAAATGTTTGCGCGCTATTTGCAGCATTTTGTATTGCATGTCCGGCTCGTCGGATTTCAGGAGGTGTATAAAACTGCAATATAAAAGACAAATGAAATTGAGTTTCAACTTCTTTTCAATGCAGCGACAGCTTACCGAGCCACTACGCCCTGCTCCTCCGCAAACTCCTCGGCATCCGCGCTATTATTGGCAGCCGTCGTGCTCGTCTCATCGTCCTTGATCAGCGGTGTTATGATCGTCAATATGCTGTCCGCCTGATCGGCTGTGGGCACCAGAGTTTCATTCTCCAATATGTTCATAACCAAATATAATGCCAACGATTTTCGCGAGGTGTAATCGAACTTTTCCAGCAGCGGGCAAAAGTTGTTCAATTGTATAATGGTCAGCGCATTATTGTAAAAATCTATGCAGATGCGCAGCAGGCGCGAAAGTTCCTGATTAACGGACAACAGGTGTGAAATGCTGTAAGTTAAGTGTAACAATTAACGTATTATCATATCCAACGATAACGAAACGAACACTCACTTGTTCATGTTCATGCGGTCGAGTATTTGTGCGGTTGTGCCCAGCACTTTGTCCACATAGTCGACGCGATCGGCATACACTTTCTGCGCCAAGCTGAGTAAGGCCACTTGTAGCGATATTGTGTCCTCGAGCGGCATATCCGTGCGGGTCTGCACAATGTTTGCCACCTGCACGCTGAACACCTCAAAGAGCTCCACTTCGGCGGGTATGATGGCATCAATGGCATTGCCGCTCGTCTGTAATCAAATTTGATTATAATTAAATGTGAATTAATATTTGAATGGAGCACTTACCTTGCCGCTGCGTTGATTATAGGCCGCCAGTCGTTCAATTAGAGAAATAATAATGTTCTTAACATTCACGCCTGTCTCCAGCTGGGCGCAGGACTTTAGGAACGGATCGAGTGTCTGCAGATGAAACTCATCGGGAAATACCTGAATAATGCACTCCATCAGATACTCCTGCGCGATGGCATCCCGACAGCTAACCACCTGTTCTAGTATGCCGGGTAGTATCAGACGCCTGTATGTCTCCAGTGTGGCGGACTCCAGCTGCGACAGACGCACCAGATTCGTGCCCACCAGAATTTTCAGTTCTTCGCGCTCCTTTTCCCGGCGCGTCTTCTCGCTGGAGTGGCCCTGATGCTGCATGCGCACCCACAATTTATTCATTTCTGCGAAATTCGTCAATACAAAATCGATGGCATCGTAAACATTGCCCTCGTGTTCATTCTCCGCCACCAGCACATCGGGTAATATGTTGCGGGTGCACTGCAGCAGATAGTTGCGAAGAAAGAGACCGCGCAGGGGATGCTGCACACCACGACACATCTCCACCAGATCCTTGAGAATGCTGCGCTTTAACGTCGAGTCGTTCTTTATGTATACAATGCCCACTGTGATGAGCAGGTAGAGGCGCGGGACTATCGTGTGCGAATACTGAACCAATTCATACAGATCCGTCTCCTTGTTGCTTTTCTCGCTGAGATACAGTTCCAGGTGGCACAGCTCATTCGTAACAGACATGTCTGTGCACATATGAAAATATATGTTATGAAGAATAGACATATATTTGCCAATTTAATATGTACTTACATAGCTCATAGTAGCTCTTGGGAGATAGCATCGAGGTGCGCAACTCGCTTAACATTGTGCTGGCACACTTGAGGGCGTCCAGCATGCGTTCCTTGTCCAGAAAGTGATTCATTTGGAATGCCTGTTTGCGTGCTGCACCGACCGCCTCGGCTAGCAGCTTCTCCTGGTCGTCCAAACCATTCGGCATCGTCTGGAATGAGACATAGCATACAGTGTCAGGCAAAGTGGGCCAACCAGTCGATGTGCGCGAATACATGAGAGTGTGAGTAATGGCGATGACACGAATTTGTGAGAATTGAGAGAAACAACACACAAAATACAAAACACATAGCGACATGAGATGAGATAAGCGTCGACAGCTCATTCGGATGTTGCTGGATTAAGCTGGGCACTGGAAATGGGCGAACGATGATAACACAAAAAACAAGAGCTGAAAATGGATTCTCCAAGAATGCGACCAATTTCCGACTGCGCCCCCCGCAGCGTGCATTCATTGTGGAAACAAACAAATAGTAGTAGTAAATAATTAATGTGAACAGCAATAGATAGTGCAAGGGTGGGTGGAGTGGAGTGGAGTGTTGGATTAGAGTTGGCTGTGCGTGGCGTATTTACCCTGGTTAGGCCACCAGTGGGCACTTGGCCGCTGTACGTGGAGGAGTTCCAGGGATACATGCTGGATGATCTAGGTGCTGTGCTTGTGGTGGTGGTTGAGGTTTTGGTGGTATGTGCTTATGCGAACTCCTATTATGCTGGCGGACGCAGTTGCAAGTTGCACAGGTTTTGCCGCTAGCAAAGTGGGCGGGCGAGGGCGCAGTCAGCGTTTTCAGTTTGTGTTTTCTTCTACTTAATATGGTATTTGCGCTAAGCTGAAATATCTGCTTCCGGCTGCTGGTGACTACGCGTTGATTGGGAGTGCACTTACCATTACAGCAGCGATGTGTGGGCGGAGCAAGGATGCGAAATTGTCTTAAATTAAAGTAATTTTTTCAATAGTTTTGTACTCAATGTGACCAAATGCGGTTAACAGTAAAAAACCATGCATGTACAAATACCAAACGAAGAAAAATACTAACGCCTATTGACATACAACCTGGTCACACTTCTACACACTTCTTCCTGATCACATTTATTCCTGGCGTAAATTTAATAAAATGAAATACATATTTCATTGTTTTGTGTGATTAAAACGCACATTTAATTTTACAATTGCTGCTTTTTGCGCAGCTCCTTGCAAACAGCATCTACACTACCTTCCTCTGATTCCTGCGGTTTGCTCTGATTGGCCTCAGCAGCCTCGCGCTCCAACTTGGCAACACCATCGCGCACAACTTTCTCAATGTCATCCAGCAGCCCGGAAGCGCCAAAACGAAAGCGATGCGGCGTCAACCAACGACTGCCCAGCGTCTCGTTAACAAGCGTCATCCAAGAGACCGCGTCTCGCACTGTGCGCACCCCACCCGCTGCCTTCAGGCCAACTTTTTGGCAAGTGCGTCGCTTAAACTCTTGTATGGCAAAGATCATGACCAAGCCGACTGGCAGGGTAGCATTCACAACCTCCTTGCCAGTGGAGGTCTTTAGAAAGTCTGCGCCCGCCATCATGCATACCATGGAGGCCTTGTAGACCTGAAAAACAGAGAAATTCAGGAAAGGATTCAGCTGTTGGATGCTGCGGCGGGCTACTTACATTTTCCATAGTACCCAGCTCACCAATAGCCAAAATGGTCTTGAGAACTGCGTGGTCACCGCAGGCGCTGCGCATGAGCACCACCTCGTTGTAGAGCGCCTCCCAGTCGCCTAAAAGCGCCAGCTGCCGGTTGATAACAATGTCAATCTCTGTGGCGCCCGCAAGGATGGCGTGACTTATTTCCTGCAAGCGCGTCTGCAGCCCATATTGGCCCGTGGGAAAACCAGTTGCCACAGCGGCAATAGCCACGCTATCCAATTGGTTAAACTGCTGAATTGTTGTATAGGCGTCCTTAACACGCGCCGGATACACACAGACAGCAGCACAGTGAATGTCCAGCAGGAGCGTGCGTTCAAAGTATTTGTCGAAGAACTGCGGCTCAAAGGGATAGCAAGCGCGCACACATAGTCGACGCACGTTCGCTCGGGTATCATCTCCCGACAGCGTAGTCAAGTCTGTCAGCATGAGCGCTCTCAGGGCCCAGGCGATTTCATTTACCCCAGAGACGACACAACGCTGGGATAAGCTCGATGCTATCTCCTCCACCTGACGCAGCGATATGTTAACCGTTAGCAATGAGGCATCTGAGTAAACCAGTTCCATATCATGAGTGCACGGCACGATATATATAGACATTTACGGGGCTTACCGAAAGGCAAGGTTTTGTTCACTATCAACGACTTGCCGTCCATAATGGATCCGCGACTTATACTTAAAATAAGACTGAGGATTGTTTTGACTCGATTTAACAGGAATATCCAAACATTAATCTTCGTTTGAAGGTAAGTGGAAAAGTTTTCATTTGATTTCGGCAAAAACTATTGACAGTTGCTATACCCAAAAATGTTTTACAAGTAACTTCCGAGTAATATGATGAAAATAACATTAAAGTCAGAACTCATAGAATCTTAGTTAGGATATTGTTGCATAGTCAGCGCAGCCTCAGGGTGTGTGTGTGTGGGTGAAAAACAAATTTACACACGTGCCAACTACGTACGTGCATACATATTCCTACATATAAACTCTGACACCAACAGGCGCATATATGTGTACATACTAACAGGCATTGTTATGCCCAGTCATACATGTGTCTACACATATATATTCTTGTGTACATGCGTATATACATACATAACTACTTACTTACAACTTAGAAAAAATAATTTGCACTGACAACACTTGTTAACTTACACCACTTTGCTTATGTTGAAAGCATGAAGACTAGCAGGACCTACTTGAATTCATGAGAATCGCAGAGTAGAGCACTAGACAAAATAATTTTTTTTTCAGCAGTATAGTTGTGTTTGCCATACATACATGAACAACTACATTTGTCAATACTTATATACAAACAGACAAGTGTACTTACAGACATACATACGAACAAACACATTCATTCACACATACATACAGACAGACTTAGATAAATATTCGTACGAATTACGATTGTGTTAATATCGCCACGCCTTCACATGGCTTTTTATAATATTGGACTGATAATGATTTGCATTGTGCTGGTGCTCGTTAGTTAATTAATAAATGGAGCGATAAGAGCTAACTAATTGGATTAGGGCGTTATAACACAAAAACTAATTGATATGTGACGGTCAGCAGAAAATAAGATAACGTTTAATTCTACTAATTACACTAAAAATTTGCATTGACTTTGGAGGGGATATGTTGGTAAATCAACGATGCTTCGCCCACTGCTCCCAGTACTCTCGCTTCTGCATCTCATATAGACGTGATATTGTGCGCTCAAAGGCAAACAGTTCCTCTTCACCAGTAAAAACACTTGACTGTGTAGCATGAAAGAGAGAAACGTTTAGACTTAGAATGATTTATTTTTAATATCATATTGGTACTCACCGAATTCTCGTTCAGTTTTAAGTCATCCATTAGTGCACGATCCGAATCAGACATTGAATCAGATCTGTCAGAGATTTGAAATAGTTTATCTAGCGGTTCATCCGCTGAGATAACTACGCGCACTCGATTATCGTATAGTGTATCTATAAGCGTTATAAAACGACGCATTTGGGACCTAACGTTCAGATTCATCTGGGGTACGTCGTGTATGAGCACTGTATGGAAAAACTGTGCAATTTGCAGATAGTCGCTACCTGCTAACGGCTAAGAAACATAGATTAATGCCAGTCCCATTATATTATCGAGGAATACTCACGCGATCGCAAAGCTCGTCGAAGCTGCTGTCCAAGATCTGGCCACACGTGCGTGCAAATTTCAAATCGCGACCGAAATGCGTGATTGTGCGAGGTCGAATGATGTCATTCTCCTCGGCGCACAGAATCTTGAACATGCGATTCATATCGGCTTCGGCGTCTGTCTCACCTTTCACGAAATAATTCGTGTCGCCAGATTGAGCAATTCGCCGATAGTCAATCGAGTCCAGCTTTGCTGTCTCGCAGCGTTGCTGCAACAGTGCGATAAATGGCAAAAAGTTGACACGCTGCAATCCATTTTTATATAGATCCTCAGGGTGTCGATTGCTTGTGGCGACTACAACAATGCCCTGCCTAAATAGGTGGGTGAAGAGCCGCTTAAGTATCATCGCGTCCGCAATGTCTGTCACTTGGAATTCGTCAAAGCAAATGAGCCATGACTCGTCCGCTATCAAATCAGCGACCGGCTTTGTTGGGTCGAAGGGTGCGGGTTTCTCCGAATTGAAGGCACGATCCGCTGGACCCTGGCGCTCCTTGGCCTCGTGTATGAGCGCGTGCACTTTGGTCATGAAGGCGGTAAAGTGTACTCGACGCTTGCGGGGAATCTGTTGAAAGGGAAAGTGAATTTAATTATTATCAAGTATAGCATATAGTATTAGCAATGTCTGAATGGGCTTGACTAATGAGCATTTGGGACCCGAAACCGAAGGCAGCGATTTTGAATTTTGTTTCTAGAGTTCTAGCCGTAACAGTCCTTTGTAATCATGTCCTCTAAGTGAGCCAGTTTACTGACCAAGAAGGAACCTAGCTCGGGTTCTAGTATAGCATGTAGCATTAACCAAAATAGGCAGTGTTATGTAAGAGTATTATTAATAGTTTATAAACCACATAGCATGATATTAAAAAGCAGTACGTTCGCATGCATTATATCATGTATAAACATATATAGAAGGGCGAATGTGAAGATTGTTGGGTCTAAACTGTTCGGTTGTCCTCCACATACGGTTTTTTAGGTTTTACCTATTGTGTCAACTATATGACACGTACTATACACATATCGTTGTATAAGCCAATGATTTCCCTTATCGTAACCTCTGAGAAAACGTCTGCTTACACACACCTCTGTACAGCAGTCGTAGAACAGATCCATAAGCGTGGTCTTGCCCACGCCGACGCTGCCGTAGATGTAGAGACCTTTGGGGGAATGGCTGCCCGCGGTCATGTCATCATCGGCATCGGTATCTTCACTGGATTTCTTGCCAAAAAGCGATTTAAGGAATCCACCGCTAGATGAAGTTTGCTTGCTTGGATGATAGTCCTGGAGGCGATGGTAGAGTGCGTCCAGCTGCCGCATTGTTTGTTGTTGCTTATCGTCCGTCATCAGTTGACCGGAAGCGACGCGCTGTTCATACTCTTTCATGGGGGTCAGGTGGCGGCACTGAAAGGCTGCACATGTTAGCTGAGTAACGGGTAGCAACAATTTTGCTTGAAATTGCAGAGTGCTGCGCGCCACCGAACCCACTTGATAAAGCAACATGCTATGGCCTAAATATTTATATCACACGAATTTTGGTAAACTAAAGGAATATTTTGCGTCAGCTTAACATATTACATAAAGCTCTGGGGCGCCTTCCGCGTAGCCGAAACGATGACCGCGAATTTCGTACGTTGGCGTTGGCCGTGAATTTATACTGCTGGCCAAATCACAATCAGACATTCGCACAGAATCGAACAGCTGTTGTTGATTTTGCCATTCACCGTTGACTGTCATGAAATGAACAGATGTTTTTCAATTGAACATCAATTCTAGTTCATTTTGGAACTGCCCGTAACGGCTAAACGAACTTTTGCATATCCCTTGACTGTCGTGAAATGTCAATTGAATATCGGTTCTAGTTCATTTTTGGAACTAGCCGTAACGGCTTAACGAACTTTTGCAAAATTTGAATTTAATTTTGATGCAAAGAAAAACGAAATATTCGATTAAAGTTCAAAGTTTACACATTTATTATACATTTATTACACATAATAATCGTAATCGTAAATGGAATATATTCGACTCTCAATCTTTAACTTTCTATTGGGCATCTACCTCATGACAATTATTTAATTATTTATGGCTGACATTCGCGTTTCTACATAGCTTTATACATTCAGTTTTTAGACCAGTTTGCATCTGGGTGTATTCGCCATTTACCGTTCACGGCTCGAATTCATTTTGGTTTTACATTTTTCGGCTGGATTTTATGCTGGAGCAAAAAAATACATCTAAATATTTTTACTAATAAATTCATAGACAAGTTTTACATTAGTATCAATTTTGTTTGCTATTTTAAAGTGAATTGGGCATTGCCAAATTTTTGTTTTGTTTTGTAAGTTATTATGTATTCTTTTAAATTCCATTGTGCTGCAATAGTTTTGATATACAATACACTTTAGTTCACATCTATAATTATGAAGCGCAAAGTTTTTTTGTTTTTAACATATTAAAATATCTACGAGCTGTTAAATTGTGACATTGATATTCCAAAAAGAAAAAAAAACGTTGCACAGAATCTCCTCAAATCTAATACAGACAGTTATTATTGTACCCATGATTTGACTTTACTAAACAATTTCTTATTTATTTCTTTTGGATTTTGATATTCTTGTTAATTTTATGTAAGATCTAATCGAATTCCCCATTATAGGGGAATACAAATTTTGTGTGGTAGCTCTAGTTCAATTTCGAATGGTCCCGACTTATCTAAGAAACCTATAATGTGTGCCTAAGCTGTGCACATGGTTTCCGCATCAAAAATATTTTGCTAGCATGCGCCGAAAATAAGCAAATTACTTAAAAACTACAAAATGCAAATTGAATTTGAATAGTATAATGAATTTTAACTTTTTTTTTTGTTGAGTTTTTTGTTTGTTTTGAATATTGAATAATCAATTTGGAACAACACGAAGATTAGTACGATTTAAAAAAATGCAATTGAATTAGCATTATAAGTATATAATTTAATTAATGTTAAATTCTATTCGGCGAACAATTGCCAAACATGCTAAAAATCAGTACAATTGATTCACATCTCATTTTGGGTTATAATTAAACTCTTTAAAAATTTACAACAAATTATTGCTTTTGATTTGCGTTTACCTTTTTTTTTTACATTTCGAATATAATATAATATATTATTAACTGGTCAAGCTTTTTAAATTAATTTGATTTCATTGACTATTTAATTAAATTGTGAAGTCTTAGGCGAGATATAATAAATAATAATTAAGAAAAAAAAAATACTTTTGGCATGGAAGTCAATTTGGATCGAACGTAATTAAACGAAAGTAAACACAGTTATAAAATAAATTAAAAGTATATTTATATTTGTTGAATATATACACAAAGTTTCATACACAATTATAAGGACTTAATACAAATAATATTTAACTGACTAGCATTAAAGTATACATATTATAAATTATACATATATACAAAGATAATACAGCTATGAGTTAGGAGTCTATTTGTAGCTTGTACGTTTCAAAACTTAGGCGAAATGTATCTTAGGGAGCTTTTCTATTTATTGTATATGTAAATAATCCTCGGGATTTTGTATGCACCAAATTTGGGAAAACCAAAAGGCTAAATGGGTTAATAACTAAAATGTTCCCCCCTCTTCTCATGCTAATTGCTGCCCCATGCTCAGTCGATGTGTGTTTGGGTGTGTGTGTGTGTGTGTGTGTTGGTGTGTTGGTGCCTTTAGAGCACGTGCAGATTCTCGCAGCTCTTCGATTTGGAGTCACGTGTCCAGACGCGTCCAAGCAGACCCTTGACCTTGAGACTCGTGGAAGTTCGCGAGCCTCGATATTTACGTGGGCTACAAAAGAGGTTTGCTTGTTATTAGCTGGCGGCTGTTTAGGCCACAGTGTGAGACTCACCTGCTGTGTGCGCTGCCTGGCGGCGTACCAGATGCATCACCCAGTGGTCCTCCAAGCGGACCCAGCGGCGTGTTGGCATTGAGGCAACCAGCGCTGAGCGGTGAGCAGGCACGACGCTTGGACTTGCGAATGGAACGCTTGCGAAACAGATCCCTAAAGGTTGCATAACAGCAACAAATAGCATTATAAATGTGCAATCGAAAGTTATGCGCGCTTTGCAAATACCAACCTGGATTTTTCGGGATTTTCGAGCTTGAGGCGTATCTGCGATAGCAGACCCACCAGCAGCTCATCGACATTGTGATTAATGCCCACCGATGTCTCAATGAATTTGCAATCGTATGCGGTGGCCATGGCTTTGCCCTCTGTAACAAAAAAAAAGTTGCAATTTTTTAAGTGTCTTGGGTGAATCTCAGATATGCGGCAAGTTAATCAAATCAAATTGCGTCGCTTAGTTAAACTCTTGAGCGTGTAATAAAAAGCAAAACTTGGACACTTAATACCTAAACACGTTGCCCATTAACCTCAGCCACCCTGCGCCAGTCCCTCCGTTTCAGCCCCTGACCCTGCCCCTGCTCCTGGTGCTACCATGCCTGCCTTCTCTATAGATTTCGTCACGTTTACTGCGCCTGCTGTCGTTAAAATCTGTAGCCTACGACTACAATAAGTAGCTATGCGTTTGTTTTCGCAGGCCTGTTTTTATGACAGCCACACTCGCACATACACACACCAGCACACAGACCCTCTCAAGAGCTCATATATATAGGTTTTTATTAACGATGTGCGAAAAAAAAAGTTGGCGTCATTTTATTAGATTTTGATAGGATGTTCTCATCTCCCTTCCTCTTGAATGCCACCAGCTTATTACGGTGCTTTTATTAAGCCTCCAGCTGGCCAAACATTCTGCACCACGAGAAGCTTTAAAGATTTATATGAGAAATATTTACCAGCCCCTTCATTCCCTAACCATCGGCATGGTACAACAAAAGTCAGCTGGCTCCTGCTCAGGCGCCTTAATTAAAAGCAAACAAAACTCATAAACAATGAAAACTACTTGGCAGCCAAATGGCAAATGCTATGAATTCTAAATGTTTCTGAGTGCAACTGCTTAAATATAGTATATACCCATGCCACATCCAGATATGAGTATCAGCCTGCCTTATTAAGCTTGTTTTCTATGCATTTTCACAGTTCAGTTGCTTTAATTGATTTTTTATTTATTTATTTACTTATTATTTTTTCAGTTATTAAATTCTTTGAGGTACCCTCGTATTTGTTGTTGCTCCTCAGAATGCTATAAATATTTTATGAAATTTTGGGAAACAGCATCCCCAAGCATTCTCTTTGTATTGACAACAATAGCAATGAGCTTACTAAGGCGTAAGCCGCAGGAATGAAATGTAATCAATTTTGCGCTTAAACAATTTTACCCCGCCTCAGTTTTCCCTCACCGCTCAATGCTTATTTGCTTGTCCCATGCCCCAACCTGCTGCCGTATGACCTAAATTTGCTTCTCGTTTTTTTTTTGTTGTTTTTTTCTACTGTTGACGTTGACACTTTCATAAGCGGCCATTAAAAACAAATGTAATTTGTGAAAATATTGAATTTGTTAGATGAAAGCCATAAGCCTGGCATGAGCGCCTGCTAACGGTGAATAAATCTGCTGACCTTTTAAATTGATATAAAACAAGAATAAGCATTTGTCTAGCAGATACCACAATACGAATACTCTATTTCATCTTAAATTTGGTCTTAGCCTACTGAATCTGCTATATCAACAGAAACAGAAATGTTATCCACATTAACAGTGAGGTATTCACTTAAGATATGTTATTAAAACTTCACTTAACAGCGGCTCTTGTTAACAGAAAGTTAATGTCTGTTAATGTAAATGACTTCCTTTAATGTTGTCAAGCAAACAACTTGTTAAAAAGGCCGAAAAAACTTTATATTTTTAATAGTGTCACAAACATTTCTGTCAACTTCAAATGTGAGCGAATTTTATAGGGTATTTTAAGTGGATGTACTTAAATGTACATAAAAGGCAATGAGCGTCCAGTAAAGCAGTTGAGCGACCTTCACTTGCTTTCCGTTTAACGATGGCATGTTTTTGCCTCTAGACTTATATATCTATTATATATATACATATAGATGTGTTTATACACATGCATGATGAGTATGGTTGGGTGTGTGTGTGCGTGTGTCTGTGTGTAGGTGTGTGCTGGGTTGCGCCAATCGGCAATCGACTTCCGCTTGATCAACTTCCATTGAAAACTCAAAATTAAAGCGACTGCAGCTGTCTGTGGCTGCTTTTGTGGTGTCCTTTGCAGATATCCAACGACACTCAAATACACACATATTCACATACACACACACATTGTGACAGTGTAGCTATTTTAACGTGATATAAAAAAAAAACCCAATCGAGCGCATTTTGAAGTGTTAATGAAAGGAAAATCTGGAAATCGTTTAGTCAGCTGAATTGAGTCTCATTTATTTACCTTCGGATGTAACGAGTCGACTCCTGGCGAGGTCCGCTTTGTTCGACACCAGTATAACGGCTTTCTGTGCGATATTCTGATTGGTCCATAGCACCTGAAGCACCTGTTCGGCAATGTTAAAGCTGCTCCGGTCCGCGGCAGAATAAATGACGCAATAGCCATGTGGATCATAGTTGGTCAAGCATTCATCCGGCTGTGAAAGCAAAGGACACAAAACTGACATTGAGTGAGGTTCAAGAGATGCCTGAGTTGTGTGATGGTGTGTGTGTGTGTGTGTGTGTGTGTGTCTGTGTGTTGATTGTATATGTTAATGGCATTATGAAATGTCACAGATAAAGTATCTCTAAGGTTGAATGATGGTGACTGGTGTGGATGCCTGTGGATTGACCTTACTTCAAAGTGACATTTCGAGTGTACGGGCAAATAGCTATATTCCTATATAAATCATTGTACTTACAGTCATCTCGGTGTATCCATGATCTATGAATATTAATTCGGACTCCTCGCCGCTGAGTAATACTGATACGGCTTTTTCGCCAGATTCATCATCTGTTTATTGAAAAACATTTCATTAATAACAAATCCCGACATAATGAATATAGTTTATATATATTTATAAAATGAAATGTAGTTTATAATAACCTAGAGCAAGATAAAGCTACAAATAAAAGGTGCAAATAACGTGAATTTCATTCAGATAGTATATATTGTACAAATTTATTTACAATTGACGAATGGGTTTGTGGCTTGGTGGTGTTTGGTGGTGGCATTTCTCATGCAATTCTGGCTCTGCATTCTGGGGCTCTACTATGAGATGTGAGGACAAATACATATAGCTTGGGATGGTAGCATGAAGATTCGGATTGTGCACAATGCGCTGGGGGTGGGTTTTATGGGGGGTTTTAAACATTTTTGATTGTTTTTTAACAAAAATTAAATTTCCGCCGCGCGCCTATAGGTATGCTATGAAATATGAATGGCTGTGTGCTTGACTGTGTGTGTGTGCGTGCGCGTGTATTTGTGTGTACTTTATTTTTATCAGCCATATTGCATATATTGAATTTATGGTTTTTAGAGCTTATTGAATGTACTATACGGTTAAATTGATGATATATCTGAACCAGCCTGACCCTTCAACCTGCACTTATTCAATTTATGGCAGCACATAAATTACAATTGTAATTGACTCTTCAATTGTTATTGTTGCTTGCCTATTGGTTGGATTTAATGATTACCCAACTGAAATTTCATGAGATTTTATAGTTGCTTTTACATTTATCAGCTGAGCGGACATTTTAATTAAGGCCCGGCTAAAAAAAAAGCGTGTGTATGGATTATTAATTATATTTTTGGACACACAGCATATATGAGCTATATATTTATTTAAAAGGACTTAACCAAACTCTCTCAACTTCATAACATATACACATATATGTATTTATTTTGTAACAAGTTGACCCATTCACAGGGGACTAGAGTGTGGGGGAAGTTCTTGAGCAAACAGAGCCGCATTTATTGGGAGCAGGTAATTACTCTTTTTTTTTGGGGGGGTGGGAATAGTTTATGTTTGTTTTGGAAACTTTGCGTGTGGTTGTGTGGTAGAGAAAACTACTTAGGACTAAGCCAGTGGCCTAAATTTGAAGGGAGTGTACGTGGGCGTGTGTCCAGTGTGTTTAGATTAGATAAAATTAAGAGCTAGTTGAGTAAGTTAATCGGAATTCAATTGGAAACGCAACGCAAATGCAGCTCAAACGTTAAACAAGTGAAAAATCAAAATATTTTGTAGGTATTTTTTTAATACATTTTTTTTTTCGTTGAAAGCATTTAGTATAGATTAAGTATGGAATTTGAATAAATATAATTATAGTAATAATTATTTGTAATAGATTTTTGTTTCATGATTTTTATTGTTGCTATTACCGTCGGCGGCTTTTTCAATATGTATGCGTATATCACAGTTGCCTAGATCTGAATTAAGTTTTGTTATTGAATTCGTTAGATTTTGTTTAATTTTGTTGTTGTTGTTGTTGTTGTTATGTTGAATGAAACATTAGGTTTGTTATATATGGTTAATGGTCAAAAGACGAGAGAGAACAGAAAAATATCAATAATTTTATATTGTTGTTGGCAAGTGTTTGGTTTGGTGTTTAAAATATTTAAGAAAAAAAATGCATTTTTACACTTAGATTAGTTTTATGTGCTTGCGTTAAATTTCTGATAAATTAACAGCTAAAACTTTGGGAATTTGAAGTCTCAATTTTTGACTTTTTATGTATTTTGGAAAGTGTCCAAATTTTTGTGTGGATATTCACTCCGAATTCCCGCATTGTAAGAAGCATTTATCCGCACTGTACATCTGCAACAATTTCTATTTGTTTCTTTCTTCGTATTGATTTTAATTTTGCGTGCAAATTTTCCAATTCGATTTGTAAAAATTTTCCAGCAAAAATTTGCTTTTTTTTCCATGGACTTTTATGCCAATTTATGATATCAAATCTTTGTGTCCATATGTACAAGGCGGGGGTCGTAAAAAGTCAACCAACATAAAGCGAAAATTAACAAAAAAAAAAAAAAAGAAAACCAAAGCAAATAATAATAAATACAAATATGTTTGTGAGATGGTCGTAAATTGTTGTAGTCAAGGGCAAAGCACAAAACGACACACAAATTCAACAGATAAACAAAAACAAACTTAAAAAACCACGTAAAAAGAGAAAAGAAAAACATTTGTGAAGGCAAATGCCAAGGCAACAAACACAAACAAAACCAAAAATTAAAGGCACAACAAAACTAGACATACACACACTTAAGGGTCAAGGGTTGAGGACCAGACTGACACTAACACAAGGAGTACAAACACACACAAGCACACACACAGAAACACACACATACACACAGACACACACACAATGACAAAGCCTTAAAACCTAAACACTAAGACGAAGTTTAAGCAGCATTCAAGTGGTATTTGGTTGTGGCCAGTGGCTGACCGTGCAACAGTTGCAGAACGGGAGATTCGGGCTACTCACCAATGCTTGTGTCATACGCATGCAAATATTCCGAGGTCATGAACTGTGAGACCAGCGAACTTTTGCCCACCGCCGGACCGCCAAGCATCAGAACTCTGAAAAAGGGATTATATTCAAGTTGAGTGGCAAACTCTGTAGTTGTTCTTAGTGCCAGATTTACCTGTAGGGTCCATTGCCCGGATTAGAGGTGCTGCTCTCACGACTGGAGGCCAGCGAGGTGCGTGCCGAGTGGGAAGTGGGCGCGGGCAGCTGTTGTTGTCCCTGTTGCAGCTGCTGTTGCTGCTGTTGCTGCTGCTGGGCGGTCAGGTGCTCCGTGCTGGAGTTGGAGCTGGCCACGCTGTTGTTGGAGCGACTGCGTCGACTCTTTAGCGAATCGCCGCGATTTACAACGCCTTTGCCGGTAATGGAAAAGTGCCGTAGTCTGTAGTATTCCTCCTCGACACCAGTATTGGGCATGGATGCGACGCTATATTGTGCGGCGGGATTGAAGCATTAGACGAGCTTCTTTAACAAATGCTGCAGCAGCACTTACCGTGATCTCTGCTGGGGCAGACATAGCTGATTGGGGCGTCCGGAGGCGCGACTGCCGGGCATTTTCACCGACTGCGACCGGCTGTGATGTGGTGAGCCATAGCTGCAATTGTCAAGCGCGTTAATAAAAAATATATATTGCTGCTTTTCTATGCGAAATGAAATTTTTAAATCTAAAAATCAGTTTGCTACAGCTGAAACGCTGCAATTGACAGCAGCCGAAACCCAATTTCAGCGGAATGTGGCATCATTTAAGCGTTAATTGGAATATGCCTTAACAACAGATACGAGCACACACGCCCACACAGCCGTATCGAAGTGCGTGTGCGGCTTGACCTTGGCAACAGTTGCACGCACTTTTGTTAACTTGGCTTTCAAATGTGCACGGCAGGTGGTATTCTGGCTCTGAGTGCATGGCTTATGCAACCCGTTGACCACATGTTGTCCGCACGAGTTAAGCCCCAATTTCGATTAGTGCCACAAAGTTGCATGCACCTTCCACATGGGAAATGTGGAAACAAAATGTGCTTCAAACTGTAATCTCGTGCATTAATTCAATGGCAATTCAATTTCTTTGCTGCTGCTTTAAATGTATATCAACTATAATTAAGCGTTATATTTGAACCTTTTTTGCATATATATTTAACCCTCTTTACGATTTACATAGTGGGACTTAAGAGCTGCAGACATCTATTCAAATTCTGTTGCTATTCGACAAGTAAATCTATTAGGGCTGAATATCTAAGGCCTTATAGTCAGGTCTTTTAAGCTTGCTATGCACACTACAAAATCAAAATGTCAAGTTTTCGAATCACTTTTTACATGATGAGCTTCATGTTGTAAAGGTTAAATCGAATCTATAAAAGTATACCCTTGGCAAAGACATTACAATATCTATTCCCTGCCTGCTCGTTTTTTTTTTTATTTTATAACATTTTGAAGGGCATATCAACACGTAAACTGTCATTAAACTCGCCAACATATCGTATACGATACATATGAATTTAGAATTTAGCGTTTTTGATATTCGAAATAAATAAATTTCAAATCAGCTGCAGCCCATCAAACGCAGTCGAAGGCCGTATTTTATAAACACAAATATATATTTTTACATACAACATTTTAATAGCCTTTTGTTATTTGATTTGCCTGGTTGAAGGTTAAAAGGAATTTGTTGCCATGTTTATGGCTGTGGCATAAAATGCAATCTTCAATAGATGGCTTTGGCGTTCTCAAAGACTTACCGCATTTCAAAGTCGCGCAGCTCCTCAATTGTCAGGGTATTGGTTACATCCAACAGCTGTCGCATGTTCTCATCGCGTTTGTGCTGTTGCTGTTGTTGTTGCTGTTGTTGCTGCTGCTGTTGAGTGTAGCCATGTCCCTGCACCTGGTGATGATGATGATGATGATGATGATGCAGTTGGCCGGCATGCGGCGGATGTGCCAGCTGCTGTGAGTGCCGCTTACGCGCATTCAGCTCCTTGCCCTGCTCCACACTGATGAAATCCCCCTCATTTTTGATCAGCAGTGTTTCGACCGTATTGTCCATGCTGAGGGATGGCTGTATGGGGTGGAACAAAAAGACAGGATTTGCTTTAAGCGGATTCTTATAATTCAATGAACACCCCCTTATGCCCGGCCACTTCTACGCTTTCTTCAATTAGCATTGAATGGTGCTCTTAAAATATTTTTTAGCATTTGGCTTTACATTGTGAAAATTCTATTCAGTCCTTCGCCCATTGCTGTTTGAGTGACTCAAGGCTGTGCTCCACTTAGCTGGAGTGCCTCAGTCCAATGCTGTACAATAACTTTTCGCCTTATCTACACCTTGAAGCGTGCCAGTTGCAACTGCCTCAAGGCATCGCGTGCTGCCTGCTGGCAAAAACTGACGCTCAGCATTTTGCCAATTGGTGTCGAGGCAAAATACTTTTTTAAACTAACTAAATGAATGGGGTCAAAAGCAGGCGAATAAATTTGAAACCATGAAAACCTCAAATTTCGTGCTTTCCGGTTCGTTTTTAAACCTTGCATCTTTAAATTGTGTTAGCTATTGACATGCATCTTAGGCTCAGCTGAGCTAAATTACAAGTGGAAGTTTCTAAGAATATTTGTCTAGCTTTATAAGAAGAGCCTTCTTAACCTGCAGAAGCACTCGTAAATATACGCGAATAAACAAGCAGAACGCATTAATTTTAAATTTTAAATTTTTAATTTACGCAAGCAACAAAAGTTTTACCATAAATTACAGGCTGGGTTAGGCCTCCAACTGTATAGACGAAGTACGGGCTGCCTGACTGACACACTCAGCACACACACACGGTAAACGCGGTAAATACTTGAGTATTTATTCAGTAAATGTTGATATTAATTTTGTATGCTTTTATTGGCTCGCATGACAAAAACCTGTTTTTCCGCTTGCCCAATTAATGCACACATGAGTGTGTGCGTGTTACACCTTGTGCTGCCACGCGACTTGCCGCATATATATATATATATATGAAAGTTATACCCGCAAATGCCTCAAGTGGACGCAAGTAAAACTTTTTGGACAAACGCACACGGGGGAGCAATTTGCGGGTGCAATCGCCCGCAGCTCGCAGTCCTTGATGGAGACATCAATTTTTATGATGCCGACGCGGCGTATGCGTAATTTTGCGACATGTGCCACAACACACACACACAAGACCGAAAGAGATATATGTTAATTAAAACCTGACTTGTGTTTCTTAATTAACTCGCGCTCTAGAAGTTTAGTTTTTTTTACTCTTGGCCACCCGCCTATATCTGTTCGCCGTCATACGCCCCGTTGTGCCGAGCAGCTTTGAATGTGCTCGTGAGTGCAGTCACGTAGCTGGAAAGCCTCAAAAAACAAATTTATTTAGCTATATGTGAGTGTGAATGCGTATTTATGCAAAATTGTGGTGTTGGTTATTTTAGAATAATTTCAAACAAATCAAAAAAAGTATGAATTCATCTTCAATTAAGGACTCAACTTTGCGCGGCTTATTTAATCGAGGCTGTTTTTTTTCATATAAAAAATTTACATTTTATTTTAATCAATCACGTAAATCGCCAAAAAAAAATAAACAAATTCTGGTTCATGCGTTGCTATGAATTTATTTTCTAGTTGAATAAATTTGATATGAATATGAACATATCCTGTATAGTGTACTAGCGGGTATACCTCGGTCTTGCCCAGATTTAGATGCCAAATTGATCTAGAGGCCGGAAAATAAAGAGTTTTTTATATAGAGATTTGCTAGCTTTTTATGGAGTTTGGATTAATGAATCAATTGGCGTTTATATGTCAGTCATGAAAAATATTTTCCTTCGATCAAAAAACTGTCTAAAAAGCTCATGTAGAGTATTTGTTAGTGAAGTAAATTTAATTATGGTTTGGTTTTCTTTTTTTTCTGCAGAGAGTGTGTTTCCCATCAATTCACAATTGGCCATTAGCCGAAAACTGCGAACAGAGTGTGAGAAACATATGCAGCGGTTTTTAAATAGACAAATTTATGAAATTCGTGCCCAAAAATGAACTAATAAAATATGCGAAAAATACCGCCTGATGTTATTGTTGCTTTCCGATCCGGCCAACATGGCCTATGAATATGTTTGTTAGTTTAACAGAACTCAATTGGATCTCATTTGTTTATTAAGTATTCGCTGCACATTGCTAATATCTATGCAGTTTTTCAAGCTATGCAATATACATTTTAATTTAATGCAAATTCCATAAAAAGTACGAACTTTATAAGGGCCAAGTGTTGTTTGGGCAGACAAAATATGCCGAATGTGTGCATAATTTTATTGCCCGAGTTGTCGGCGTCTGCCAGCGCTCATTCACACCTCCATGTGCCAGCCCTGCCCCGCACCACCCATTGCCGCGCCTTTTTGTATATTTTTTGCATGCATTAACATGTCGACGTTTAAAAATACATTTAGTTTGCTTTGAATGTGTATAAAAATAAGCTCACACTCTCTGGCCTGCTCCATGCCAGGCGAATCACTTGCTTTTCATTATAATGGCGCTTTTCTCTATGTTCAATCGCGTGTATAATTCGATGCTGGCAACAACAAGCGCGAACATTATAAATACAACAATTTTTAGCTAAAGATTGCATTTGCTTGTTAACGAGCTGGAGGACGGGCCGGGGGGAGTGTGTGTCTAAAACGGTTGGTCATTGAACACAGCTGCCATATGCTAGCCGTTGGCTCTTTAAAATTGTGCAAACTTCTGCTGCAAGCATTTAACCAAATCGATTTGTGCGTAGTATTTGAATGCAGTACGAGAAAAGCATTTGATTTTGACCAAGCAAGGCAAACATAGCACATTGGCTCAGCTTGCGTTAAAACTAATTGGGAATAATAATCCAAAAGTAGATCAGCGTAAAGTTGAGTTAAAGGACGCTCGCTTAACAGTCTGGCAGATGCAAGCTTTAAACAATTTGTTTGTGTTTCATATGCCAGAAGCATATCAATAGATCAACATTGTTATTACTGAGATATTTGCCGTTTTTCTGTTAATAATTAACTTAATTGTTATTGGCACTATTGTTATAATTCTTCGTTCCCAATTCCCCATTACACGGTGTGTGCGCTATTTCAGTTGATTACATATGGTTATTAATAACGCTGTGGGAAATTTCTCATACGGTTTTATTGTAATTTTGTTGGCCAAGCGCCAGATGCCTGTCGCAAGGGTGCAAAGTCTGTACAAAATCACGCTTTACAAAGGTGCGTGTTGGCCGCAACCCAATTGAACTGATCAGTTCATCTCGCCCGCTAGCCCATTGCATCTGAACTCGCCTCCAGTTGTTGCAGCTCAACTATTCGTGTTTGCTTAAACATTTCCGTGTGCTGCGGCTATTTTCAGAAGCTGAACAATGGAGTGCATGGCATATAGATACAACAGTATCTTGTATCTTGCGTCTATATGCATGCATATGTGTGTTCTTATTTATAGCCGTAGTTTATTTATGGAACTGCAAAAAACTGTAGCAAAACGCAGCTGCAACGTACTGCAATTGGGGTCAATGGATTCCAAGCCAAGTTGCCGCGTCGCAGCAGGAAGACGCAACGTATTCAGTTGCACTCGCAGGCCGACCGGGGCACTTGGCCAGGGCAGCGCATTTATCACTTAATTAATGACACTTACAAGACACTTGGAGCTCGGCTAACATACTGCCCCCAAAAAAGCCCAACAAAGGTGTTCCCAGTACAAACAAATCGATGGAAATCAGGTAAGAGTGCCATAAACAAAAGTGCTGCACCAGCAGATACCCCGTGGCGAGATTTCAAGTGAGATATGGATAGCTAAGTGTTCTTCTATCTGTAGGAGTAGTGTTCCATTTGACGATAGATTTCAGTATTCAAAAGTTAAGGTCGCTTTTATAGACTAAGATCATTTAATAAATATTTTAAATGTATATAAAAGTAATTGTAAATTGATTTGACCTGCGTGTTATATATTTTAAATATTTCTCAACCAGTTACATTCCATTTGCATAATTTGATTATACCTGTTTGATCCATTTTTAATGGGCATAGGCTATAACAACATGCGAATGTTTAATTAAGGATAAATAATTCACACATACAGCAACTATTTAACTGAACGCCAGCTGCTGGCTGCCAACTGGCGCTAAAAAAAGAAATTGCTGAAATTAAGTATACGCCAGCGACATTAAGTATACGCCTCGTCTAACGGGCCAAGTTGACTGAGTGGCGGCGGCGGCCTGTGAACTTTTTCTTTTCTTTTATTTTGCAGCCATGTCTGTTGCTATAATTAGCCGTAATTCGTGCACGGCCTTGACAAATGTGCCAAAAAACAAAACCAAAAAAAATATATTAAAAGTAAACAAAAACTGTGGTCAGCCAAGTCAATAACCGCGTTTTAAGAGGCAGCATAATATGTTACCATTTGGCCATATTATTTTCTTTCACTTATATAATTTGAGCACACGGGGTCAAAACTGTTGACCCGCAAATTGTTTGATTGACCTCTATCGAGATATGCTTTGATATCTAATATACGAGCAATGAACCCAAGTGGAAATTTCGCGTGCCTTCCCGTTGCCATGTGAATAATTGAGCACCATCTTGTGGCCCACTAGCTACACCTGCCCCAAGGCCAGTTGGCCTTTTTAGAGTGGAATCAAATTTAAATAATAATCTCATTAAATATTCAATTAAATGCGAGAAAGGTGCGTTGTCTTTCTGAGGATCTGACATACTTCAAGCTGTGCAGCCATTAGTCGAGGCTCCTTTTTAGCTAAAGGACACTCAACGTGAGCACAAGAGCTGGCAGGCTGGCTGGGACGGGCGACTGTTCTCTGAATTGAGTTGCCAAATGCATTCATGTGGGCGACTTTGGCGTTAGCCTTAAACGTTACCTGTTTGCGACACCAAGGCCTAAAAACAAATGCATTTGCACGTTAACACTTTGTTTAGCCTTCCTCCCAGCCCCCAGCCGCTGCGTCTCCAGTTGTTTCAATGTAAAATCAATAGACAAGCAACAAAAACAAAAGCTGCAGCTAAGCGAAAATGTTATTTGCCTGTTTTTGATATATTCAACGTGTGTTTTATGGCCAGGCCAGGATGGTAGAGTATAAGGCGAGTGTGAGGGGCAGCAAGTGCAGGAAACATGCCGCAAAATATTTGTTGTTTACATAGCATGTGTGTGTGTTTGGCGTGTGTGTTGGTGTGTGTGGGGTGGGGCAGCAGATAGTGACCACCAAGGCTGCATTCGTTTCAGTTGCAGTTGCTAATAATTCGTTTTCGACCAGTCCAACAATGGGCTAGCTCTTGTTATGATTTGCAAGGATTGCGCAACAAAGCAAAATACTAGAACGGTTAAAAAACTATTTTGCCTTCAAGGGGCGTTCGACTCGCAAACTTTGTGCTTACGTAGAATAGTTAACAAAAATGTCCCTTGCATAAATTACACAGAAATATCAATTTCTTCGTATAAATCTCAATCACTCTTTCCAGAGAAAGTGCTCGAAAGCGATTTTCAACTGCAATCAAAATATCAGCTGGACACAAAGTTTAATAGCCACCCTCTTACCCTTTGTTTTTGATTTCACAACAGCTTTTTTTATAGCAAATTCTACGAAATGACCGTGTCGGATACTATATGAAATAATTGCGTTGTTTTGGAAAATTTCTTATGAACACGCTGCATATTGAGGAAATTGTATCTTGTTTTTTGTGTTTGTTTTTGTTTTATTAACTCAACAATAGACAGAGGGCACCTTTTTACAGGATGTCTGAGTCTCTATAATAGAGTATAATATGGATATATAATTGCAGCTGTTCGTGTCATGTTTGTTTTTGCTATAATTATAAGTAATTTTCCGTTATTTTTCTGCTACTTATGTTTATCTGTATATATGTACATGAAAAGAAACTCTGATATCATACATGTTTTTTTCCCCGAGGGTATTAAAGAACGAACTACTCACACGCCGCCTTACAATGAAATCGTAAAAAGTTCATAAATCAAAATGAGTCGTAGGCAAGGAGGTGCGACAACTCGCACAGCTTGGACATTGTTTTCGCCTCTGTCTCTTGGTCTCAGTCTGGGAATGGATTACATATGCTTCATGTTTTTATTTTGCAAGTAAATAAATATGCATGTAAAATACTTGTGTATATTATATCTATAGGAATCGGACAACCTGCGCCTTGGCATGATTCCATTTTCATTTGTTGCTGATTCTGGTAGTTTATTTTGACAGCTGTCATCGCACGGCGTGAGTTGTGGAATACGTTGCATAAATGAATTAACAAATAGTACAACTGCAACAATTCAATTAAAAATGATATATGATATTTATGAGCACATTTATGGCATGGGAACAGATTTAAAAGCTTTTCAAAACGGTTTAATAGCTTGGAAATCTGTTTTTGTCGAAACTTGAGATGGGACTTTAATGTGTATTAAAGTTACATATTTTGAAATCGTTTTACTAAGTATTACTGTCAGAAGTTATATAAAAGACAATTTATGAGATTGAAAGTAGTTTAAATTAAATTTCTAAAGAATTTGAAAACTATTAAGGACACGATGTAACTATATGTTTTAAAGTTATAATACCAAAAGAAAGTGATGATGTTTTCTAACTCAAGTTATTGGAAGATTGAGTTTAACTCAACATAATTGTAAGGGCTTAGTCTTAGTCTGAGTAAGGAAAACCCAGAAAAGTCAATTGCCTGGGAAATCTATTCCGCAAAGCCCTCAATTTATTAGTTAAGCTAATTAACTTTTGCCAGCTGACGTCGACTTCACTCTCACAGCCATTTGATTACAAACGCTCTCCAGTGCCCACTTTCTTTCAGTACTATGGGGCATCGGCGCCAGATTGTCAAATTGACGTCATATAATAAATCAGCATATCGGTATCGATATTGATATAGGCGCCATAAACTGGGCAACAGCTCATTGCCAAACAATGAACTGCGCGGTATATCCTACCCTATCTTATCTGATGGCCTGTTGATGTACTCCATCAGTCATGGTCAAAATCAATAAACTCGACTGGAAACATTTTTGATAGACCTACCTCCTTGTAGCGCTTCGATAGGCTGCGGCAAATGCGCTTATAGAAGGGCGCCATTTTAGTTGTACTTTTTTCACGTTGAATCGATTCGGAAATGTGCAACAATTGAGATTATATCTCTTTGGTAAAGTCTATAATCGGGTTTCTTGGTTTGATGAACACGGATTTACAGTTTACATGTCGGGCAGACTTTAAGGAGTGGATCGCGGCACATACACGCACTTGATAAAACAATATTTTTCGACACTTGATGCTACTGTTTGTGTATTTAAAGTACTTTGAGATATTCTGGCGAATTTTCAGTTAAGAATTTTTTGTGTTTTTTACGCAGTGGTTAATATCGTATTTTGTATTTTATTTTACGGATTGTTGCTTGGATGCTGTGTTGCTCTCTGGCGGATCGTAAACATATGAATGACTCGATCCGCCAACGGTGCGAGGCTTTTTATGAGCTGCCGCAAGGCACGGCAACAAAGCAGAGAGCTTGTGAGAGATAGCGATAAGAGAGGAAGAGAGAGAGTGTGTGAGCGAGAGATAGCGCGCGCGCAGCTAGAAGCGGAAATGAGGCACAAAGAGAGCCAGACAGACAGACAGATAGACGAAGAGGCAGACAGCGAGTTATATGTACATATATGCATGTTATATATGGAGAGGATGGTGGGGTACTTACTTGTTGTACAACGATTGTGGCACGGGGCTGCTTGCAGACGGCGGCTGCCTCTAAGGGATTTGCAGTCACATTAATGGCGCCCGCACTCGAACCTGAACCCGGTAGTAAATCCTCCAGTGCCTGAGCCTGCAGCTGCGTCTGCGTCTTCGATTTGGATTTGCTTTTGAAGGATCGTTTCCGTGTGGTATCTGTGGGACTAAGTGATGCGGATGCCAAGGATTCGCTGCCTGGACTATGCATATGCAGCATCTGCAGATTCAGCGTCGAGTTGGAGCCATGTTTGGGTGGTATCTGCTCAAATTTGCTGGCGATATCCTCGAATTTGTTCAGCTCGGCATAGGAATGATCGCTGGGCGAGGAGGATGACTTGGTCTGCGGATAGAACGCGTCCGATTGTGGCACATACTGCTGATTCTCGCGTATGGTTGTGTGTATCACGGAGTCTGGTCGTATGCGCTTGGAGTTCTTTCGGGAGGGTGGACGCTCCCGCTCCCGGTCCCAGTCCCTATCCCGCTCATGATTAAGCTGATGCTGCTGCTGTTGCTGCTCCTGTTGGGTGAGACGCGAGTATTGCTGAAAGATGTCGGCGCTCAGCTTGCGCTCGTAGACGGAACAATTCTCCCCCTCTTCCGAGTCGCTACTGGTGCTGGCCGTTGCCGAGCTGGGCGCAAAGCATTCCCGCTGGATGCGCTCATAGTCGAGGGCCTCACGATCAAAGGGAAACATTGTGCCGCCAGCGGCTGCGTCTCGCAGACAGCGTTCGCTGCTGCCGCTGGATGAACTGGACGAATACTTACGCTGCTGCGCAGAGGCCGAGGAAGAGGGTGACAGCTGCTGCTGCTGCTGCTGCTGGGATTGACGCTGCTTTTGGTTCTGGCAGCTGCCGAAGAAGTTGCCGTCCTTCATTGTTGGCGGCGCAGAGTTGATCTTGGCTATGGCGCCCGTTGAAGCAGAGGGCGTGGTACGCTTCCGTTCACGCTTGGGACTGGTGCGGTTGCTGGACGAGGGTGAAACGTTGGGCGAGATCCGATTACGTGTGCTGCCAGCGCTGCCGCCGCCGCCACCTCCATTGGCATTCATTGTATCGCGCTCCCTGGCACGCAGTTTCTTGTTGCGATTGGCCGCAAGACGCTCCTCGTGCACCTCATCAGCCTCAGCGGTGGTTGCACTACCCGTATAATGGGAGCTACTTGCTCGGCGCGCCTGCTGTGTCTCCTCCTTGAAGGTGAAGTGACTGCGGGCCTTCTCGCTGCTGCGCGCCGACTTTGGTGACTGCGGCGGATCGAAGGTGAAGTGCTCACGTCCACGTGTGGGCGGCGGCGCCGTGCTGGGCTGACGTGACGACACAAGCAGCGGGGTTGTTGATGACGGCTCCCCCGTCAATATGGACAAACAGGATTCCTGGCTCTGGCGTGTGCATATGTGTGCGTGGGTGTATGCAAATGAGCAAAAGGCAGAGCTAGATACAGCAGCAGCGTTTGGCGTACTCACCTCGGTACTGTCCTGGAGATTCATGTCGGGTCGCGGGGGATAGCGTGAGCAGCTCGTTAGTTCCAATTCAGTGCCGCCCGCCTCATGTTCCGAATCGATTTGTATGGCCGTGAGCAAAGGCTCCTCCAGCGAGCTGAACAGCGGCTCGCTGGGGCCAGAATTGTCGCCTGATGGACAAAAGGACAAGCCAAACGTAAACCATAGTGATTAGTTGATTAATTAAAATGGCCGTCAATCAATCAATCAATGCAGTCCGACAACATACCCAAGTCCAGGGAATCGCAGGTCTCCGACGTGTCCGTGTGCGTCACATTGGTGATGAGTGTGCAGGCCGAGTCCGTGGATGTGTTGATGGTCGTATCCGGAATGGAGGCCGATGAAGTGCCCATCACAACCAGCTATGCAAAAAATTTAATTACAGTATACTTAAAAACAAATAATAGGAGAAATAAATATCAAAACAGGGATTCAAGTTTAATATAACTACTCGTAATTTAATTAAATTCAAATTAACTCAACTTCTAATCCTATCAATAAAAGTTAGAGAGCAGTTTTCTGTTAATCGTAGCTGTCTGTTGGTATTGAGAACCTGCACAGTTGCTTTTCAAAATTTGTATCGCCTTTCTATGCGGTTCTCATGAATTCATATTCATATTATGTTGTGCAATTGTTTTCTGTTTTTTTCTGTAGACATAAACCTAAACTCAGAAACGGAACAGGGTATATCCCATAGCAAAATACTGTTTGCCTTTTCTCCTTTTTGATCATTGTTTGAATATTACTCACCTTGGGCACTCCAGAGACGCCCATTGCATGCATGGCCGTTGCACCACTCACCGAGTTGTGAAAGGCGTTGGAGACGGCATTCATGGGCAAATTGTTGAGTGGTGTGGAGGAGGTGGATGAATTGATCTTGTTCTTGATACTGCGCCCGCTCTTGAAATACAATCGACGGAGAGCCGTTGCCGTTGAGGAGCCCGAAGTGCTGAATCCATCATTGTCCGAGCCGCTTGAGTTGCTGCCGCCCGAGAGGATACCCATGCCGTTTAACTGGGCAGCAGCCCGCACTGCTGTGGGCGTTGATGGCTTCGACGTGGCTCTGGACGTGGTCGTGGACGTAGCTGTTGCTGTGCAAGTTGAATTAGCAGCATTCACATTGGACATAGCTGCCGGTGTGGGCGTGGATCGGTTAGCAGGACGCGTCATGGAGACAGCTCTATTGTTAGTGCGTGGCGAGGCATTGGAACTGGAACTGGACGTGGTTTGCTTGCCGCTAGCTGGTTTTGATGATTTCTTCTCGCTGGACTGTTGGCCCAGCGTAAGCGCCATCATCGCCGCGGACCGAGTGCTCATGTAGCAGGTGGCCAGAGGCTTGGGTTTGTTGTTGTTGTTGCTGCTATTGTTAGTGGTGCTCTTTGTGGCCGTTGCGTTGCCCTGTGCTGCATGTGAAAGGGATATTGTCATGGCTGTCGATAAAAAAGAGAAAAATATATATCTATATATATATATATTTGTTATATACAAACACGAAGAGATAAAAGCGTCAAGGTTTTATCTATACATTGATCGCTTAAACCTAAAGTTCGACTGAATTAAATTTAATTGACAGCTAGTTGCATTCTATGTGCACATGACAGCTTTAAGATATACTTATATCTCAAAGCTCGACTCACTTACATTTACGTCCTGACCGATTGGATAACTCAAAAGTGAAAAGTGCAGTTAAATGATATGATATATGCTTTTTATTATACTTTGTCATGAGATAACGAAATCAAAGCTTCGAAACTTACTTAAAGCTCAAAGCTCGACTAAGTGAAGCTAATATCTTGATATCTTTGACAACTCTAAAGTTGAATTTAAGCTTTGAAATTAAAGTTCGACAGAATAATGCTGCATTCTATGTGCCCATGCTAGCTTTAAGCTTTGCTTAAAGCTCGACTAACTGTCAAATCAAAGCTTACTCCACTGCTTATATTAATTGCAGCTTTGAAAAATTGTTTACTCTGTCATTGTGATTTAAAGTGTAAAACTAATTAAAATCGACACCTGCTCATTCTATGAAAGTTTAGCTGCAGTGCTTGATTATATGAGAAATCGCGCGCTCTAAATCAACAAAGAAAATCGATAGACTGTAGCGCGACACGCACCTTAATCACCCACACATTAAATGGGTAAATGACTCATGTGCTGTTGGCAATTTGGGGTTGGGGTTTGGGGACGCTTTGCTCTCAGGGTACTTTACCGAAACGCGTCAGGAAACGCCGCCCCGCTGAACTCAACCTGTGCAGTTTGGCACGTAAACAAAATCGAGATTTCGTGGAAAACAAAACAAAACAAAAACATAGAATAAGGCATTGAGATAGATATGTACATAAAAATAATATCGTACAATCAAATTCCACAAATAATTGAGTAAAAGATTCGTCTAACGTATGTCTGGATATTATTCGAACTCATTGTTGTTGTCGATGTTGTTGTTTACCTGTAGCTGTCTACCTGAGCTGAACGCGCTGCACTATGAAATTGCCCGTTAGTTTCGAAGGCTATACATTTCGCAAAATATCGATGGCAAAATAGCTGAAAATAACAACGGAAGCAACTGTGTACGTGGCATGCAATGGCAACCCCTCCCCGCCCCCCACAATGGATAAGGAGACTTTGACCCAAAAAATTGGCAACATGTCGAATCTTTTCATATGTCGCGCCCCGTCGAGAAAAAGCATTACGAGCCAGTTCATGCAGCAGGTTTCCAGCTTTATTTATACAAAATGTCACTGAAAGTGTGTCAACCATTGCGGCAGGAATATGTCAAAAGATGTGTGTGTGTGTGTGTGTGTAAGTGGGAAAATGCGGGCTGCTAGTAGTCTCTATAAAGAAAAGCTGGCGCAAAATTGAGTTTACATGAAAGCAAAAATAAAGCTTACCTTGACCACGACTCCTGGAGGTGGGGGAAGCGCTCGCTGTGCTCGTCGTCGTGGCGGCTGCTGCTGCTGCTCCTGTGGGCGCAGCTGTTATAGGTGTTGAGGGCGTGGCATTGGGCGGTGCGCTGCTGTCGCGAAAGATGGGTGAGCCGGGTACATAGCGCTCAGGCTGTAAAAACAAAAATGTATTTAATGACAATTTTTATAAGCAAACTGATCATATGTATATAAGATAAGACAGCAACTAGCTATGAATAGAAAAATACAGTTGGCCTTTTCTATGTAAATAAAGAAAGCACAGCCCTTATCAGCAGGCGCTGATTGATAAGATATGACCCTCCAGCTACAATTGAGTCCATTAGTTTAAAAACCAAATAGCACTTGGCCTGCAATGGAGCCCTCTACTGAAAGATGTCAGTTTCAGTCGTACTCCAGACCCAGACCAGACCAAAGCCGTTAACATTATCAACTGTCAATACCGAGAACCGATTGAAGTGCTACCGAAGACAACTTGAGATGCGAAAAGCCTCATTGATTTTGGCATTTTATGTCATTTGCTGTGCAGCTCAAACGCACGGTTCGTATCGTGATTATAATGATATGGTTGTGTGTCATAAGTATTTCTCGTGTGTATATATGTACATATTGCGCCCAATTCAAGACTATTCGATTTCCACTTAACTAAATTAGCTGGCTTTATTTCGAAACTTGTCTACTCAGTATTCCGAATTTATGACAGCCAACAAAAATCAGGTAAATTTCAAACGCTTTTCTGCTTGGCACGCTCTCTGGCTAATTCTGCAAGAGACCTCCACGTGATTCCAAGAACTTTGCTCTGCTGACGTATTCCAAATATACTATATACATACATATATATTACCTATACAAACATACATACATACATACATATATGTATGTTAATATCTTTGAGTATATGCAGTTGAGTCTTTTAACCATAAACATGTACAGTATATAATAACCAATCTCTAGTTCAGCTGTCGACGCCACTCTCCAGTGACCGCATTTAATTTATTGATTGCTACACAAAAGATGATACGAATCATTTCTCGAAGATCTCACGGTATAACGCAATATTTTTAGATCTCGTATAACAGTGAGACCAAATCGAATGCTTCTGAACACATCTATTGAATTCATCAAAATTATAACAAGAATTCCCTTATATGACATATAATAAAGGTAAAGAGCAACTATTCTGATCGTATCAAATGTAAGCAAAGTCAAGCCTGATATGAAATATTTACCTAACATTGTTTAACCATTTCAATTATATAACTATTGATGATGTCTAACGTGTAGCTGACTTTTATGAATTCTGTTTTCATCGTCTATTTATCTACTGCAAATATTGTACTAAGTAATTTATTTTATCATACCATGCACACTGGCTTGAGCACACTGTGCGTTGAGTTAATTTTGATCTGTTTGGGTGCTGGGATTTCGCACGAATGAATGACGAGTATTTTATGACTGATTCGCGAATACGGGGAACTGAAGCGTGCCGGTGGATTTTGTTTTATGCAGAAATCGTGCAGTGCAAATGTTTTAAAAATAATCTTTAATTTTGAGCGCTAATTTTCTTGTCTATACACAGATTTTACGATGAAATTGTGAATCTGTAAAAGGCCTATTAAAAGAGCACAGCTCATTATTTTGATTGCCCCTAAATGAGTTGGTGGGGCAAGGCGGAAGAGGAGGTGGCGACTGCCACAGATTTGCCAGCTGTTAGACAATCAGTTGATGTAAATGCACAGGGTCGTTTGGGGTCTGGGACCGAGCCGAGATATGTTTCAATGATGCCCTTCCCAAGGGAATTGTTACTTCTTTATGAAATATGCAACTGTTTTAGCGAAACGTACTTCCGGCTTTATATAAAATATATGTATAATATCTAGCAATTCCTTGAAATGAGAGAGCACTTTGTCTTACCAGTTCAACTATGGCTGTACAACGTTTTCTACACTCAAACTAAACTCTCAAGACGCAAATTTACAAAAAGCTACTACAAAATATTTGTATGTACTTAATCTTCTAAATCTGCCAAAGCAATTCGAGATCGTTCTTAGCTAGATTAAGATTAAATCAGGTCTACTCTTTAATTAAAATACATACGTAAATTTATAGCTTAAGATAAAATCCGTTCTAGGGTATTTAAGTTTCGGCAGCTTGTAACTGGGCTATTTATTTTTCAATATTTTTTGACTATTTTTATGAAGCACCAAGTCTCGTGTCATGAAATCAGTTTTTACAAATGCTAGCCATTGGCTGTGCCTGTTGCTATTCTTGTTACCCGTTTTTGTTGTTGTTGTTTTTGTTGTTGTCCATTGACGTCATTGTTATTACACAAAACGCATATAGAGTATAGAGAAGTATAGATGTTTAGATACATGTCGAGGACGCTGTCGTGCCACTTGGCAAATAGACAGAAAGTCTCGTTGCCAAAATTCTCACTTTAATGCAATTAATTTGAATAAAAACAACAAAAAGAACAGATTTTGTGTTTTTAATAGAATTTCATGTGTGTTGTTGCTACTGTTGTTGTTTTGTTGCGTTGCCTATAAATAAATTCTAAGAAAAGCACAACAACATCATCATCATGTTCATCAGTTTTATCATCTTCATCAGCGGCCACAGAAAGCGAAAGGCAACGTCATGACCTCGTTCAATATTTGTGAGTTGCGTACTTTTTCGTGTATTTCATATAGTTTCTATATAGTTTTTATTTATGGATTTTTGGACTTGCAGCTCTCGAGTGCTACGTCTGCAGCTATTTGCTCGGCCAGAGCGATGCCACCTGCCTGACGAACGCGAGCGCTGTGCGCGCCCTCAACTGCACCAAGAAGTATTGCCTCACGGTGCGGCAAGAAGCGATTGTGAGTATCATACAATGTCGTGCAACTTCACTTGTAGCCAACAATGGCAAGCACAGTAGCCACCCACCCAAAAAGCCATAATCCTGCAGAAACTAGACTCGTATATTCCCAGCTTAACTTCTTTTAGCCACAGCTGGCTGATTGCTTCGCAACAAAGTGGCAGCTGCACACGAGTCGTCGATTTTTGGCTCTCTTCTTTCTCTTTTCGTTCATTGTGTATTTATGTATGTACATGTGCAACAGCAAAAAGTTCGGTGGGGCAACTTTGTTGCTAAATGTGGCCAAAACGGAAGTTTTTGCTCAACAAATTAGCGAAAAACTCATATCCAGTGAAGCTTTTAAGCTAGACTCTTGAATACACACATACACACTCCCAGGCAAAGTAATTGAATATATGATGGGCACTGGGCGAATGTGGCGTATGAGCAATAAGTGCCTGAAACTCACATCATTTTGAGCGCCATTTTAAATTACATTTATATGCATTTCATTCTGTGCATTTCAATGTGACTTTCAGGTCAAAGGATAAAAGGAGAGTATATTAATTTTGCTACAGAGCAAAAAAAAATAGATAAGATAAGAAGAAATGTAAAAATTGCGCAGACAATGCTCTTCAGAGTTCAAAGTACGCACTTTACAAAAGAGCATATTAATAAAAACCTTTCAGCGCCACAGAGCAATTTACAGCAAAGTTAATTTACAGCCAAATGAAGTCTTCATTTTTTTAAATAATTGTTATACATATTGTTAGTGGGTAAGGCCTAAAAACATAAGGGAAGAGCTATCAATACTAGTTAAGAAATTAAAGAGTTTCTTTATGAGCAAATGTTTAGTTAATTGCAGAGTAAAAATCAGTCGGTCATAATCTTATGCTTTTTGTTAATTTTGAATAGCAAATTTATGCAGCAATTGCCATGGAAATAGGGAGACGTAGCTGCAAGCTGCTGACTGAGGCACGAAGCTGCAATTCGCAATAAAAAACTTGGCTCACAAATGGTTAACTCAAGCATCCCATCATACATGGGGCTGGGTGCCCGGGAAAAGCTGCTGATGAAGTGCTTGGCTGGGTGACAAAATCATGTACTACTCCACAATACTTTTTTCCTTAGTCCAGGGCAGTTCAAGTATTCAAGCTCTAGGTCTATAACGATTGTTTTGACATAGGAATGCAAATAAGACTAGAATTGGGAAGTTTTTTTTGTTTGTTGACGTTGAAGCTTTTGTGCTTTAATTTCTACGGCCACAAGAGAAAATCAAGCCAAGAGCTGCGCTGAAAAGTGGAGTGCATAAAAAGTCCATTACCATAATTTAATGGAAAGCCAGAAAGGCGTATAAAAGCCACAAAAGCCGCGTCAAGCAGCGCGTCACACACAACATCAAGGCATACGCAGCTGCTAACCCCATGCTTCCCATCTCCTACACTCTATAATATGGGGCTTTAACTTTGTCTTCTATTTGGTATCGTCACACTTGTGCAACAGCATACCCTGCGTATTTATTTTTTTCTTTACAATGGGCTGGATAAACATTTGCTGGCGCTTCATTAGTCGACAAGCCTTGAACTCTTTGTTATTGAATTTACCGGATCAAAGGAGCATTGAGCCAGCGGGAAATGAACTAAAAGTTACTTTGTACAAGGCACAAAGAGCACTGCACCATCTGCTGCTTCTCACTTGCAGACTAAATGCCCCATTGATGGTCTGGCATAATGCAATTAAAACTTTATCTTCACTGGGTCTGGTTTAATGATGAATAAGACAAGTAAATTGAGGCTGTGACTTTACTGGGTTAACAAGAGCTCGTAATGTTAACTGTAATGTTTCCGCTCCATTCATAGGAAAACTAATGAAAGTTAAATTATTATCAGTAATTGATCCAAAGGCTTTAAGCTGGCATTTGCAGATTAATCTGATGCTAAAGCTTAAAGACGTTAGATTTCGATGGCTTTCAGCTAAAATATTCAAGCTTTCGCACTTTAGTCGAGCTTAAATGTTTCGTGATAACTTTAAGAGTGAAGTGCTTAGCGAACAACATTTTATGTTATTTTCAACTTTAAGCTGAAGTTCAGAAGTGGCATAAAATCGAAAGACAATTTAAAATCAAAAAATGTGAAAAATTGCAAACACGCAGCTGAACAAACTTTGAATATAGCGTCTGGAACATCTTTGGGAACATTTTGAAAAATTGCTGAAGTAACTTTTTCTTATGTTCCTACTTCTTTCTTTTTTTATTTTTTTTCTTCCTCATATGTCGCCGCTAGCAAAATGGAAACAAA